ACATTTATACCCCCCAAAACCCCCCTAAATATTGACCTAGAGCAACCAAATTTGCACAGGGGCGAGAACTCCAGGGGGCCCACCTACCTACCAAATTTGGTGTTTCTAGGTACCATAGGAGCCAATCGCGAGGGGGGGGGTCACATCGACCCCCCCCCCCCTGCCAGGCCGTGTTATGAAAAATGCCCTGCCAGGGCGAGGGTTAAGCTCAATGTAAGGCAAAATCACCAGTTCCATTTCCCGTCCTACGGTGTTTCCACCGGTCGCGCCACTGCACCATGGCGACGGTGTAGCATATAGGTACTGGAAGGTCGGGCACGCGGATTCATGACCTTACACAATTCGGAAAAGTACAGATACCTACCTCTTGCTTTGAACAAGCATGTGAAACCCAGAGAGCATTTTCAGACTATGACATTTACCGAATACCGATATACATAGTTGTGTGGCGGCGGGAGAGAGTAGGTACACCGACCTCTGGAGACCAAATGTTCCTGGTTTTCAAATTTGGCATCTGAGGGCCGCGCGCGACTCCGGCGGGCTTCGCAACGGCTCTATTGGAGCTCACTCAGCCTGCCTAGTCCTAACGCTAAAAAGACTGGCCCTAAGCCCTAAGGACTTCATCAGTCTCTGCCAGCCCCAGGACCCACAACGGCTCATGGGGTCCCGACGTCAAAATATGAGGAAATCTACGCGGGACCATCAGGACGTAGTGATCTCGATCAGGACCACGTAAGGCTGTGCAGGAGTCTGCGTAAGCCCTCTGATCTTCAGAAGCCCACCCATGTATGTTTTCACTTAGAGGCCAGTTTAGGGCCCTCAGAGACCAGTAGGTACAGTCCACAGCAGAAGTAATGTGGGGTTTCAGTCATGGGTAATGGGTATGTTCTGCTTCTGAAGCTTAGGAACGATTAGCCAGACTATGTACAATGAAACTTTGAATGTAGCTTAGGTATATGTATCGTCACCCTTACAGCTGCAACTTTAGCTATTGACATCTTCTTTTCGATCACTCCGCATTAAACAATCGCCAGTCAAAGCCAACCGTTGAGATTGGTAAAACCCTACATTACTTTAGCGCTGGGCTGTACATACAGGGCCTGCAAACTGCAAAGGCCAGTAGTTTGAGACCATCAGAATTCAGAGACCTAGTTGGGCTCTCAGAGGCTAATGTTTCCTTACTCATTACAGGCCAACATGGGGCCCTCAGAGGTCAGCGTGGGGCTCTAAAAGACCGGCATGAGCCGTCGTTGGACCCCAAAGGCCAGCAGAGGGCCCTCAAAGGCCAAGATGGGCCTCCTCAGAGGCCAATGCAGGCCCTTAGAGGCCGGCATCGGGTCTTTAGCAGCCAGTGTGGGGCCCTCATTGGCACCTAAAGGTTCGGCATGGGACACCAGAGACAGAAATAAGGCCACCAGAGACCGGTTTGAGACGCTCAGACGTCGGTTGGGGCCCCTGAGACCGGTTAGGGGCCCTCATAGGCCAGATGTGGGGCTTCAGAGGCCGATGTGGGCTCTTAGCGGCCAACATGGGCGCTTGACCGCCACTGAAGTTCCCTCAGAGGTCAGTGTAGGACGCTCAAAGACCGGTGTGGGAGCTATATTAATAGCTGGGAGTGAGTTTCTTGAGCCTCGTGACGATCGAATAAGGGCCAGGGCCCCATACACCTATGGGGGCCCATTGGTTGTTTAAGGGGGGGGGGGCAAATAATATGATGGCCCCTTTATTGGCCTTTGGGGGGCATAGCCCTGATGCCCCCCCGCAACCGCCATTGTGTACACATTACACACAGGCCTCTGAAATTGCATACTAGCTCATGCACACTCTATGCAGGCCCCGCGCGGAGGTCCCACGCTAATCCTTAAAATACCAAGCCGGCATACGGCGTCGCGTCACCACGGCTTCTGAGGTGCACAGCACTAACCCATGAGGTCTTACTTTAGTGTTGTAGAGCCACGCTCATTTGGCATGGCCCACCCGCCACTGCCGAAGAGGGTCTCAACTCTCATGCCAGCCATTGCTGGGTCTACGAGAGCCTCAAGTAAACCCACGCTGATATTCCATATAAGATCCGGTCATACTCGTGAACCGGTGCCAGCGACGCTGACCGCCAAATTGACAGAATGCGAAACTGATCCCACTCATGAGTGAAATTTACGTCCTTTGATGGCGCAAGAAAGAAAATGAAGCATACAAAAAGCTTTCTAGGACTTCTGTTCGATCTGGAAGGTGGGGCCAAAAGATAGTATGGCCCCACCTTTCAGCACCAAAGGGGGGGCCATGGCCCCCGTGCCCCCCCTGGGACCGCCTATGCTGCACATATAAAAATTTCACACCCAGGTCACCGAAGATCAGGTCACGCCAAGTGACCTTGCCTCAGAATCAGGGCTGCAGAGTCAGAGTCGGAGTCGGAGTTGGCTGTTGGAGTCGGTCGGAGTCGACAGTTCTTCCCGGAGTCGGAATCGGAGTCGGAGTCGCCAAAATCTTACCGACTCCGATTCCGGAGTCGGAGGTGAACGCTGCATGGCTCAACATCATGCACTGCACCTGTTTGATTGACGATACTGCGCTCGAAATTAGATTTTGTAAAAAAGACCATTTTCTGTTTTGGACGAACGTTTTCAGAAAAAAAGCAGAAGACTGTGAATTCCCCAGAACCTGCTTTTAAATTATGCATGGTATTTTTGCATATTTGCAACGCAAAGTCTTGGAACGCACAAGGGGTCGTTTCAGGTAAGATAAAAACATCTCCATTGTGAACTTCAATATCATTATATGGATTTTAGTAGAACCGTCCGAGGTCGGAGTCGGAGTCTGAGTCGGAGTCACCTTAAAATCGATCGACTCCGCAGCCCTGCTCAGAATAACCGAGAATGTTCGCCATAGCTATACCAACTGAGAGGTCACTTTGAAACTTGATTCGGTAAGGTAACAATTTGGTGGGCAATTGGTGTGGGTAACAGTAACACTGTGCATAAAACGGAGCTCTCACTCCCGGAATTTTGGTATCGATGCCCTATGGTCATGTAAATTTTGCACCCTCCACTAAGTCAATTGGTGAGGATAGAAAGGCGCCTGTTTTCGATGAACGTCATTCTAAAGACTTTCAAACATCAGGTTACGCATAAACATGACACACTTAATAGGAAAATTGCACCCAGGACCCCTCCTTATGTCCCTGAGATTGAGGTCATCTCAGGTCATGCCAGGTCTCCAGTAGTTGTGTCGACGAGTGGAACGTTATGCTGGCAAAATAATAGCAAAATAAGTGGCTTTCTTGAGTCAAAAGTTAGGTTATCAGAAAAAGCACTTTCGTATTTTTTATTTAGTTTTTGCCCTCTGGAGGCTAAATCATGAGTCTTAGGTCAAATCTGAGAGCTGAATCCAGAAAGAACTTCAAAAGATCTATCGAATGCGCCATTCGGGGGCGCTGTAGCTCTATTAGCTCCCAAGTTACGCGCCGTTTGTAAACAAATGAAATGGGCAAAATTTGACCTTTGATGACCCTTAAGGACATGTCCTTTGACCTGGCATAAAAATGGTCGCCATAATTTCGTCGTGAATTTTGACGCTCTTTCGAATCCCGCTTACCGCGTGTCGCTATGTGGTCCGCAGTCGAGTTAGACGGGGTGTTCAGTATCTCTCTGTTCTCCTCCCATTAAAAACTGTGACCCGCTAAAACAGGCGTAACGTCGGACACGGATTTTATCAAAGCCGTTTTTCCGTAAAAAAAAAACATTTTTAACAGCTTGAAGAAAAACGTCACCACCGCATTCCTAGCGCATTTGCGCGTCGAATGGTATATAAAACGAATAAGTAATGACAATAAAAAGACAAGATTAAACACCAAAATTGATTTTGCGCCACCCCCACCTCTCCCGCCCCAAATCTGGCGACACCTATGCGTTCTATTAAGATTACTCTTCCTTAACCTAAAAACATTTAGGAATTTGGTATGTATACAAGATGTGCGAAGAAGCGCAAAATTTGAGGTCAATTTGGAGCATGACGTTGACCATGGCCTTAAACTTTAGCACATCGTCGGATTCCTCAGATTCTCCGTTTTTTTTTTGCATCCTGCCGTCCTCTTTAACACTTAGTTTGAGGTCATTATGCATGTACCGGTTTTTGCCTTTGACCTTGACCTTGATTTATGTCCTTGAAAACTGAGTTGAGGCCAAAACATTTTAGATGCTTTAGAATCGTCTCGTGGATACTTTTTGTTATACCGCTTTTGTTTCCGTAGCTCAATTATTTACGAAATTAGACAGAGGACGAAAAACGACCCCCCTCCCCCGGTCTTGGCGAAGACCTCAACAAACATTATTGCACTCGGCTGTAGATAGATTTTTCTGTAGCAGGTAGCAGCTATAGGCTGTAGCAGATTGCAATTTCTGATGCTTGGCAGTTATCAATTTCAGATTATTGGACACATAAACCAAATCATATAACAGCCAGAACTATGTGAAAGGCTGGAAAATGTAAAGAAACACAAACCTTTATCAGATGTTCAGCATCTAATGCTATGCTGACTGAGGGATAAGGGCTCTTGGTATCCGGCTGACGTTCCCGCACTCAAGCGTGGAGTGGTCTCGTCAGTTCATCCCCGGTATGCTGCACCCCACCTGTGCCGTATGGACCCAACTATCGGCCGGCAGTGACGGTAGCTCGCGTCCCGCCATCTCGGACAGGACCACGGGCACGCTATCGGCGCGGCGCGCGGTGTGATCGGACACCTGTATCGCTTTGTCCTGTCGATCGTTCCCTCCCGCCCACAGAGGTGCTCTCAGATGTGTGGCCAGATACGGCACTCGACACTCAGTAAGCCGGACACGTGTTTGTCACACGGTGCGAGCGGCGGCGGTCGGTCGATCACGGCCGCGGCGCCGGGCCGGGCGCAGGCGTGCCGTCCGGGACGCAGCCGATGGGCCGACACTCGGATACAGCGCCGCTATCAGCTGTTCGGATCACCCTCCCGGCACGGCCGCGCGCGCCGCGCTGCCGAGGTGCCCGGGTCCGCACCCGCGCCCCTGAGCTGGCGCTGACCTTGAGATCGCCTCTGTCAGCTGATCTGTGCTCTCCGTGTGGCGGCGTCTCTCTCCGGCGGCTGGGGGTGCTCACTGTACCGCCCGGTCCGGCTGCTGGTGAGGAGCGCCCCGCGCAGCTCCCGACGAGTTGTGCAGTGTGCACGTCGGACAGAGCGGTTACCGGCCGGACCGGCACCGCCGCCGCGCTGCAACACGGAGGCCAGGGAAGTGCGCAGGACTGGAACGGGTGAACATTTGTAGTGGTGCTTGATAACTTATTTTTATTTGTTCCTCACGCGGTATTAAATATTTGCACGTGCTCCGGTGCAGGCCCGCGGCCAAGTGCTGTGAAAACACCTGGAACGGTCGGCGGTACTGAGACTGACCTGCCCTGACCCGTCTCCGTTCGACCATGTGGTTACCGACCCTGGTGCCGGGCCCCGCGACGGCCTCCGTGCTCTGTCTGGTGGTACTGCTCATCGCCCTCTGGGCCCGACGGAGGAAACGCTTCCTGAGCGCGCTCCAGGCAGCCGGTGTGCCCGGACCCTCGCCCAGCTTCTTCAGCGGAAACGTCATGGACTTCCGTTACGGAGCGAAACCGCCCCACCTGGTCGTCGACGACTGGCTGAAACGCTACGGCAACATCGTCGGCTTCCACATGGGCGTGCACCGGTACACGGTGGTGAACGACCTCGACTTGCTGCAGGAGATATTCATCAAGGACTTCAAGAACTTCAACTCGCGGCCGCCGCCGTCCATCTCCACCGAGGACTTCCGCAACTCGGTGCTGCAGGTGGAGCAGTCGCGCTGGAAACCGATGCGCTCCCTGATGGTCTCCTGCTTCACGGCCTTCAAGATGAAGCAGATGTCGCCGCTGGTCAGCCAGTGCGTCGACACGACGCTGGACGTGATCGGCGAGGCGTCGGCGCGCGGCGAGGACGTGGACGTACACGGCCTGTTCCAGGCGCTCACCTGCGACGTGATTGCCGCCTGCGCGCTGGCGCTCAAGGCCAACTGCCAGCGCGACCCACACGACCCGTTCCTGCACCGGGTGCGCTTCTTCATGGACCACGCGTCCAACCCCATCACCGAGTCGGCGTTCGCCTTCCCGCTGATAGCTGACGTCTTCGGCGTCCTGCTCAAGCTGTTCGCCGTCTCCGAGAAGATGGTGATGATGATCAACGACAACCTGACGGAGGTGATGCGGCGCCGGCGCCAGAACCCCCAGTCGTGTCCGCAGGACATCCTGCAGGCCATGCTGGACGCCAGCGAGGAGCAGGGCGGAGGCAGCAACAACCGCATCCAGATGACGGACCAGGAGGTGAAGAGCAACGCGCTGGTGCTGGTGCTGGCCGGCTACGAGACGACGGCCAACGCGCTGGTGTTTACCGCCTACCTGCTGGCCAAACACCCGCACGTGCAGGAGCGCCTCTACGACGAGATAGTGGAACACCTGCCGGTGAGTGCTCAGTGGCGACAGGGTACACAGAAAATCGGAATACCGATACTAAACCAAATACAACCGTAACCATGGCAAAATACCAAACAGTGAACCAGATTGGGAAATTGATAGAAATACTGAGTTTCACCCAAGCTCACGGCCTCGCATACACGCCTAGTGAGGATTCGGTATTAAATACCTACAAAATATGATAACCATGGATACGTGGACGTGGATAGAAATACCATACACCAAGTAGGCGTCGCTTTGGTATCGGCATTTCGGAAAGTTGGTATCCGATTGACATATATGATCTTCCTGTGCCCGGGACTCGCATGGATCGGCAGTTGCCAACAAACAGCATATGGCGAAGATGAAACAGCAGAATGAGTTAGCGGGTAGTCGAGTTCGTCTGCCACCCTGTCCATGCCGCGGCGAGAAGTGGGTTCGATTTGTCCGGCGTGCAGGCCGAACGGCTGTCGATGTCTGTAGCGCAGGCCGCAGAGTTCATGGCAGTTGTTCAGTGGCAACAGCGTGAGTCACACTTTGGCTCACATGTTCAGCTGAAAATTTGTTCAACCAGTGAATAACAAAGTGTTTCGGCACATAAACCCTAGCCTAGGTGGCATGTACAAATCAAAACATCCAGTAGGTCTTTTGATGTTGTTTAACAGTCGGGTATTTTTTATTATAAATTACTTCCTTTTTTGTATTTTTTTTTCACTTAAACTCGTAGGTACCGCTATGGGGTAAAACTGTTAAACCATTCGCAGGATAAGGATCTGTTAATCGCTTAGCCTTGGGCTTGAACATTTCTCTATTGTTATTTTTTATGGTTTTAGTGGTCGCGGTTAAATGGTAATAGTAAATTACATGCACCTTGCGGTTGGCTCTTTTCTGGTAGTTATCGGGTAGCCTTTCTCAGTCCTGTTTGACACTACTGTAGGTCGAACGGATTGCTTTTTATGGTTTCAATTCGTAGGCTATCGACACGTGAATAGCGACACGAGCTGTATTCTATTATGGGTTATAGTCGCTACTTACTCTTAAAGCCTCCCACACTGTAGACCACGTTTCCAAGTTCGTGATTCAAATTGCAAAATTTAGATCTTTAAAGTTGTCTGGAATCACTCACTACAATTTGTGAGTTAAAACGGATTAGCTTTATATAATCACTGAATCGAATCGGCATTAGATTCATGGGTTCATATTCATGTAGCTTATACCTAAGAACACTGGATTAGCTGTTGGATCCACTTTTAATGATTCTCTCTCCTTCTTCTCTATCTCTCTCTCTCTCTCTCTCTCTCTCTCTCTCTCTCTCTCTCTCTCTCTCTCTCTCTCTCTCTCTCTCTCCTCTCTCTCTCTCTCTCTCTCTCTCCTCTCTCTCCTCCTCTCTCTCTCTCTCTCTCTCTCTCTCCTCTCCTCTC